CGAAAAGGAAGAGAACTCACAATGCGATGACGCCAGCGGTATCGCTCCTATTTTGACGAAACCACGATAATTATGTGGCACTAAATAAATAATTCAACGTGCTTCAGGATGTTTCATAATGATCAGCTTAGACGAAATTATTACGGAATCTGTATTTTTTCCCTCGCGAGAAAAATGTCGCGGTAAAAGTGGAAATTCTCGCTCACGGATTCCATAATAATTTAATTTAAACTTAAAATGCGTGGGCATTTAGGAAGCTACAAAAACACTGGTTCGATTATTTTTTTGAGTGAACAATTTAAAATTCGTCCAGTCAAAATCGGAGAAACTCATTTCATGCCCACGCATTTTAAGTTTAAACCAGATTATGATGGAAGACTCGAGCCAGTATTTTTCTCCCTCGTGAGAAAAATGTCACCGTAATAATGGAAATTCTAGCTCACGGAGTCCGTAATAATTTATCTCAAACTGAGCATTTTGAAAAGTCCTGAAACACATGTTCAGTTATTTATATAAGGCTACATAATTATCTTGGTTTCGTCCAGATCGGGACGAGACCTCTGGCGTCATCGAATTTTCAGTGTGTGAACATTGACTCAAATTCGACGTAAGTTAGTTTTCAAAGTTACTACAATTGGGCATGTTTATAGTTTTCAAGATTATTTTGCAAACTAATCTTCTTTATTTAATCTTCTTCCTTAAAAATTGTTAATTTGTTATGCAAACCAAATTACAATACATAGGATAACACAATTGTTGCTCAGATTTACGAAATCATTTTGTTGCGTATCCCTTAGCGACAGAAGTTCTTCAAGCGTCGAAAGTTGTCTCAATCAGTTACGACGATAATTATGACATTGTGGTGAGGACGCTCACAAGGATTGTTTGAAAGCTTTTTTATTAAAATTATACAGTTCAAGAGGAAACAAATATAGATAGTGTCAAATTAACCAGATGGCAGAAGCTAAAATGAGTAAAAAAGAAATGAAATGCACTTTATTGAACTTTGATAAAAGTTTCAAGAACTTTCAAATTACAATGTTAAATGTTTCAATGAGAAAAACGCACATTCTTGCTGACATCAACCTGAGCATTATGGAAAAATGCCAAGCTCATGTTTAGGATGCATTGTTTTAGTTATGGTGACCTTATCAAAATTGGAGCACAATCGCTGGCGTCAGCGCATTGTCAATGAAATACTTTTGATTACGTGAAAATACGTTTCGGCATCCTTACCATTAACCTATTTAGCTTAGTATTCCTTATATTGATTGTAACTTGGTGCACCCTGGAATAGTGCGAAAAATTGTTTATTCATATATCTATAGGATATCAGTTTGTGACAAAACCTTCCCTAAAAAATGTACCATTCGAAGCAAAAAATAACTAGTTTCCAGCTTTGTCTATTTCTGACCAAAATACGTACATTTACCTAGTCTTTCGACCGTCTTTAAAACTGACCTGGATCAGCGCGTGAAAGTTTTTTTTTTTATTTATGAAATTTTATTCTCGAAGTGTAGTTGTTAGATCTTCATAAACACTTTGGCTGACAACAATCAGTCAAAAAATGCCCAAGAAATTTCCAGTATTTTTCCGAACGAACATTCTTACAGACGACAATTATGGACAAATTGAAATTATTCGGATGCAGTGTGACTCGTTCTCCAACCTATCGTCAACTTAATTCCATTTTAATTATATGAAAATACAAATTAGTGGGGCAGTCATCCTCTGCATGGGTTTCAGTCCCTCCCAAAAAATATGTTTTTCGCAAAACCGACAGGTTGGTCGAGTAAATCCTCTTACCCAAACTCAAATTTGAAAAGTTGTTAAGATATGTTAGCTGCAAGTGAGATTAGTCGTCGTCGAGAAAAGTCTCAAAAATTACTGAAGTTCACACGTTGAATTACTTTATGTCGAAAATCTCCAGGTCAACGACCTAGCACGCAGGTGAGCTAAAACAAAATACAGAAATTTCAATGGTTCGTAATGATCAGCAACGCGTGCAAAGTCCTGAAGCTACTCTTGTGGTTGTTTTTGTGGATTTTGACTACTAAAACAACAGCTTTATCTGAGACGCGCTGCAGATTTTTTGAGTTGTTTGGAAAATTCTTCAGGCATAGTTGAAAAAGATGATTTTCGAAAATGTAAGAAAAGCAATGAATTCGCGACAAACGGGGAATGGACTGTTAAGCCAAAGGTCTGAGGAACACCTTAAACAATCGAAACAAATTTCATCGCTGATTGAGGTCAATTTTAAAGACGGTCGAAATATTTACGTGGTACAATGCTGTATTACATTGTATGAAATTTGTTCGTTTCATTCCTAAGCAAATTGTACTCACTTAATTTGCATAAAGTTAAGTAAAAAAGGGGAACCAACGGATAAAATTTGTTCAACGCTAAGAGGATGCCATCAATTTACGCATAGCATGGTCTTCCTCGTCAGAAATTCATACTTCGAGTTGATTTCCGGTGCCTATATCGTGTACCTAGTTGTAAAGGCTCAAGTGTCACCAGCTGATTTCACGAAAAGTACCAGTCAGAATTAAAAACGGATAGGTACATTGGAAAGCCCATGCGATTTCGATTCCGAATCACTTTTCCATTTCAAATTATTCGAAAAAATGACCCAAACAGAAAACTTTGAAATGAGGATGTTGGCGATTTTTTACTCAACTTCGAGAATGAGCAAAAATTCTTCAGTTAAATTTTTTTAAATACCTCAAACTCAAGTCTGATGTAGCCAAGTGTATATTTAAAATGTGAGTAAAACCTTGGGCTACAACAAAACGTAAACCAAACCCACCTAAAAAATCTTAAACTGCCCCCAAACCTTTCAAAGCAGGAACCTGGCAAATGCACGATATATTTGTTAAAAGTGACCCCAGAGACCAGAGGGTCAAAATAAAAAATCATTATGCAGCGGATAAATAACCTTCTGGTCAGGGTTTTGAAATGCGGTAATCATCATACGCTTACTACTCCTCAAGATTGAGAAAGATTAAAAACCCTAAAATTTTTCTTCTGCGGTACGCGAAATTTGTTTTCTTCCGAAGACAGTTTTCCACTTGAGATCCTTCTTACTTTTAACGTATATTATAATCCCTAATCAAGTTGCCTATGCGCTCCAAATATGTGAGTTGCCTATCAAAAAATTAAAACCTCAAAAATTTCAACCCTGGATTTGCATGGACCAAGTTAGTTCAAAAGCGGGAAAAATTCCCCTTTTCTACAGAAATCAGCAACCAAAGCCAACCATGACGCGGAAGTTGGTTTCTTGTATGGTGTAGAATCCAGGATACATGTACTACTCAAAAATAATGGTAGGACTTTCTAAGCGGTAGTTGTTGCAAAATATGATGCAAAAGTTGTCAAAAAGTGATTTTTTTGTCATTTTTATGACTTTCACACACCGCATGGATATGACCATAACAAACAGACCATACGCCTTTCAGTAACGACTAAGGGCTTAAATTAAAGATAATCGCATGGTCTAAATCCCCCGAAATAATAAAGGTTTAGAAAAAATTATTACTCATATTCCCGAGCATTTTTTCATGAAAACTAGTGCGTACTTTTGGCAGGGTCTGTTTGTCTCTTTTTTAGTTGGCCATTTTCACATAAGATATTAATTTTGATGATTGAGCATTGTTTCTGGATTAGAATTTCATTGGCTTTCCAATGAAGGAAACCAGAAATTGATAAATATAAAATTACAATATTTACAGCGTATTGAATTACTGACACTTGAGCCTTTACAACTAGGTATATTTACCAACTCCGAAACATATGTAAAGTTAACCTGTCAAAAACTAAATGTGTTCTGAAGTCTGGATTCAATAAACTGTACTATATTCAGATTAACATTAGTTTGAGAAAGAATTATGTTTATACTCTAAATAACAATAGTTAAAATTTCCTCCAGGTCGAGCAAAAAAAAAATGACACAACAACCAAAAGGTAAAATTTATCCAACCTTTGATCAGATGTTACGCGAGTTTCGAAAAATTTTGCACAACGGTTGGACAAATTTAGCCTTTTGGTTGTTGTGTCATCTTTTTTTTGCTCAACCTGTAGTAACTTTTACTTATTTTTATTTTGAGTGCATATATTGAAATAATGAAACTAATTGCCTGAACACGTGGAAAATCATGGAATAATTTCCAGCGTGGTAGTCTGCAACTTTCAGATTAGAGTCAAATTAAATAAAAAAAAGTTCCCATAACTATTCGAAAAATCTCCGGAAACTTCTCCAAAATTTCTCCCAAATATTCAAAAATTTCTCAGGAACTCAGAAAAAATGCTGAAAAAATTTGAAAGTGGAGACCCTTTTCGGAGAACACTTGCGGAATTTGTTGGGAGAACACTTGTAAGAAAATGCAGGTCTGGGCATATGTGTACTACGCATATCACACGCCCTAAATAAACTTGGTAACATTTGCATAAGTACTTAACCCTTGCCCTCTTTCATTTTAAATTCGACATACGAGGTATTTTTAAATTTTTTGATTGACTTGGGTCTGGTTTGCGAGTAAACATTCATAGAATTATCATCCTTCATTCAGATAATACGTACGTGTACGCAACTAGATATTTAAAAAAAATATCAAGAATGTCAAATTAAAATAAGGACTAATTAGTATTCAATAATATTTGAAATAACTTCAAAAATTTATTTAATTTGCATTTATGCGGATTTAAGAAGACAGAAATATTAAATATTCCCGGATTAATTAAAGAAATTGTGTCCTGTCGGAAGTCGGTCAGTTTGGCGAACAAAATCGCCATAAAAAATCCTAATTGGCGAAAAACAATTTTGACAGTACTTTAGCCTTAATGTTTGGCCTGTCACGTGACCACGGGGAAGGGGGGATCAAAATTGTCCGAAATCGATCACGTGATTTATGAACGTTCCCTTAAAGCACGAGATAGTCCTCGAAATGCTCCTTATCTTGCCCTTCACTTGTCCTCACACAAATTGTTGTTCACTTCGTCTCGAGTCTTTCTCAAGTCAGCAGGAAAACTTTACAAATTTCCACAATCTCAAAAACCCGACCTTCACTTTTTTAAAACTGTTAAAAGGTGCCGAATTTTATTGTAGTTGTTTTAAGAAAAATGGCTCAAACACAAGGAGTGCGTTATAAGTCTGTTAACTGGGTGAGTAAAAAAAATTGGTGAAATTATTTTGACTATTAAAGACTAAGAATTTGAAAAATATTAGTATTATGAAAGTTGTATAATTTTTATAAAATGATTAGAATCACAAAGACTTCCTCATTTCTATTCTTTGGAAACTTTATAATTTAAGTGGGTGACAAAAATCTGAGTGAATATATGTACTATCCTAGCATTTAGGCGTGTCACCTCATTTGCATAAATCTCAATAGCCCATTTTCGGCGATACGGGCTTTCCATGTTGAGTAAACTCTATGACTCTCACGAATGCGTTAAAATATGCAAATGAGGTGACAGAGCCGAGTACGCGGACAGTACTTAAAAAATCGTGTAAATTTTAACTTTTTTAGTCTTTTTTATTCTATAATTGAGAAATTCTCAATGAGAATCGATACATTTAGAAAAATACAAGGATTATACTCGCATCTTTTTCAGGGCAAGGACCGACCTGCCGAAGGGAAATATCTTCCCCAGGATCTGAAATTGACCTTTGAGACAAAAAAGCAGAAAACTGACCGCTATTTCACCTTGCGGAACAGGACGACCACGAAGGATGACACTTGTTGGATTCAGGTTTCCTTCAAAAAGGACGTGGTGTACGGAAAGTCCAAAATTTTGGACGATTTTATCTCCTCGAGGAACGGAAACTTATTCGAGCGTCCGGAATACGAAAATTTGAATGAACTCCATTTCCGCAGGATGCTCGGAGTAAGACAATGCGTTTTTTTAAGAATTGTACACAATGAAATTCTGCATATGTATGAATACATAAGGTTTTTATGATTTTGTTTAAAAAATATTTACAAATTTGTGGTGCGAAGGTGCAAACGCGTTGGGGAAAACATTTTTTGAAGATTTTTCGGAAATGTTGAACGTGTTCCGGGATTCTCTTCCTAAAGATAGAGTGACTTGAGTCCCTCATTATCCATTTTGTCTTCATTAGATTTTAAGTATTTATAAGTTTTAACGTATGTCACAATTTGAAATTTTATATGCATTTTTTAAATTTTATATGAGAGTTTTTAGATATACGGGATTTAATTGCTTCCAATTAATTAATTACTTTAAGATCCTGCTTATTTCATCTTTCAGGTTTTCTACGGCTACGACATGAACTACATTGAGGACGAGAAGGACCTCGTGGAATTATACATAATTGCGAAACTCTTCAAGGCGGAGTCTGTGGAGTTATTTTGTAGCGAAAAATTGGCCCGTTTTCAAGGCAGGAATGCTCCGGGGACGACATCTTCGTCCGACGGTGACTGGGTCGTCTTGGAAAAGGCCGAGGTCAACGAGAAGGCTTCAACGGTGTCGAAAACTCCGGATCCGCAAAATTTATACGGATGTTCTATGGAAGGAGTTGCATTTTCATGCAAAAAAGGTTCCCGACCTGATGGGGTACAAGCTTCCCAAAACCCAGGAAAATCTAGATCTTCGGTAAGATTACGAATTTGCAGTTTGGAAATTTGAAATTTGTTATCATAATTCTTAAAGATTCTCAAAGTATTTTATCCCAAAAAAATGAAATAACCTTTCATACTTGCTTTTTAAAATTTCGCATTTTAATACGGTGTTCAAATTTAGTAGCAAATTAAAATGCGAACAGTTAAATCGAATTTTGAAATTTGCAAATCCCTTAAACCTTTAAAAAATTAAAAGTTCGAAAACTTTGCATTACTCATTTTAAATAGAAATTTGTTTTATGTATTGTCCAGTCCACCAAGCAGTCAAGGAAAGAGGGTAAGATTTAGCCGAAGAAGAGCTAAATTTAGCTCCGGCTTTACTTATCCGATCTGGAGCTAGATTTAGCTCCGAGAGCTAAATCTAGCTCCTCAAGCTCAATTTTCCTCTGAAAAAGAGCTAAATTTAGCTGATCCTCGGCTAAATTTAGCTTGGTCAGACTTTGAATAGACCGACCGCCTTTATTATGCACTGACGGTTGCTTTTGTCAATTTAGGTAAATTAAGCAGGATTCACTTAACAAATACGCAATGGCCCAGCTTTGTGTGATCTGGCCCACCGGGGTCACAGAAACTTAAACGTGAAGGTCATTTTAAATTCATAGTTATAGATTGAATAATTTAAATTTGGCGGAAGATTTTGAGCAAAATTTACCTTTCGGAGCTAAATTTAGCTCCGGATCGGCTAAATAAAGCCGGAGCTAAATTTAGCTCTTCTTCGGCTAAATTTTACCATCTTCCCTTGACTGCCAAGCATACTTATTAATTTGACGCGTCCTTAAGTCCTTATGTAATTTATTTTCAACCATGTCACCCACAGACCTCCAAAACCACGATGTCTTCCTCCATCAAGGCTGAAATCCTGTCCAACGTGATCACCTCGCTGAAACCCGAACTCATCCAAGAACTCGCCGCCGACATGAAGGACCAAATCAAAGAGATCATTTTGGAAGACTTGCGCTCTGAAATTGAGGATCGTCTCCGTTCCGATGACGATCTCAAGGATCAACTCGTCTCCGAAGTCACTGAAGTTTTACGAGAAGAGACAAAACAGGAGCTGATGAACGACCCCGATTTGAAGGCTGAACTTTTGGCCGACATTCGAAACGAGATTGTTGAATCTCACAACTTCGCGGAGAGGATGATTGGCGAATTGAAGCAAGAATTCGTCCCCAAGTTGAAGGATGACATCAAGAGCGAGATTTATGACGAATTGAAGGAGAAACTGAAAACCATGCTGCTGGATGACTATGACGAAGGCATTCGGGATGCAATCGTGGAGGAAATTCGGTCCGGAATTTTGGACGATGCTGAACTCAAGAAGGAAGTCTTTGAGGAATTCGATTCGAAATGAATTTTTGTAATTTTTGGGAGTGAAATGTTTCTTGTTTGTTGAATTGGGAAAGATGAGATTTTCGTTTTTTGATAAATTCGTAATTTATATTCTTGCTCATATTTTTGACTCACCTTTATAAAAAAAGTGTTTTTGATTTCTTGACCTGACCAATTACTTAATAATTTAAGTGACAAATTGTCTTTGTTGCTTTTAAAAATTTATTAGAAACATTTGGTTGATTGGAGTTTTTTATGTGTAGAATAATTCATACTACCTATTTGGATTGTTTTTAATAATCTGTATTCAAAATTTTTGTAATTTTTTGAGGATTTTTTTATTATTTTTTTTTGACTAGTTTATTATCCATTTTTATTTGCTTAAGTTTTGGACCTACCTTTATTTTTAAAAGAATGTTTTTTGTCTCCTCAATGAGGATCATATGAGGAGTCCTCATATGATCAATTAACAATTCAAATCACAAGGTGTCTTTATTGGTGTTAAATTGTAATACAAAAATTTGGTTGATTTGAATTTTTCCTACTATTTGAACTAGTTTTAATAAGCTCTATACATACGTATGTACATATATTCAGGTTGTCAAATTAATAAAACGTGCCAAAATAATAATTCAATTTTGTGTGAAAGGATTTTTATACCAAAGTCAAGACCATAAATTTCTTAGCTCTTGCAATAAAGAACGAACGCATATTGCATACTTTATGGAGCTAGATACACATTTCGCTAATTTGGATCTGACCTTCGGTTTTGATATGACCCACAGGTCAAACTGTGTTCCTATCCTTATGGAACATGATGCTCATAGATTTTTAATAAATTTGGGGTCGTTCATAAATTAGGCAACATGTGAGAGGGAGGGTAAGGGATCTAAAGTCCTCAATGATATCGTGGCTACATAAATATGCGAGACATGTTGAAGGGAGGAATAGAATGTAGAAAATCGCAATTTTTGCCTTAAACAATTATGAACTTGTCAATCTAAATCCCATTCCAAATCTAAATCGTATGAAATTTGCAGAAGACACAATCTCCCAATGCGCAGGTTTGGCAGAGATATTTGCATCCGAAGAGGAAAAAACCTACTCCAAGCAACTTTGCGGGGCCTTTTAAGATGGCATTAATGCCATCTTGGTAGTTACGGGCAACACATTTGGATAGAAATGACCCCCACCTGCCAACCACTTGACCGATCATGCTCATCTTCGAACTCATCCTTACTATTGACCCGAAGATCAAGTGTACAAAATTTCAAGTCGATTGAATGTGTTTAAAGAGAGTTATCGTGCGTACAGACAGACGGACGGACAGACAGACATCTTGACAAATCTATAAGGCCATCTTAAAAGGCCTAAAAATGCAATGTAAATTTGGAAAATGAAACATTTGTCAAGTTGACTCTGCCTTTTCTCCTGTGCAGATGCAAATATCTGCGCACTTGCAGATCATGTCTTTTGTAAATTTCATGCTTATGAAATATGCGATCGATTGACGTTGAGCTTTGGCTTTTGCAATAATTTTTATAAATAAAATCCTATTATTTTTTCACATTTTATTTCACTATAAAATTTCACAAGTTGAATACAGATTATTAAAACCAATACAAAAAGTACGTAAATATTATTCTACACGTAAAAATTCCAATCAACTAAATTTTTCTGTTACAATTTTTAGCACCAAAAAGAACAATTTGTCATTAAAATTATTATTTAATCAGGTCAAGAGATGATAAAAAAACTTCTTTTGTAATGGTAGGTCCAAAACATAAACAAGATTAATAAAAATTACGAATTTTTCAAGAAACAAAAATCTCAATTTTCCCAAACCAATAAATCCCCCAAAGAAAAGACATTTCACCCCTAAAAATTTACAAAAATTCATTCCGAATCGACTCCATCAGCGACTGACTCAATTCAGTCTTGAGATCGGCATCGTCCAAAATTTCGGACCGAATTTCCTCCACGAGTTCATCCCGCATGGTGTCATCATCCAGCAGCATGGTTTTCAGCCTGTCCTTCAACTCGTCGAAAATCTCACCCCGCATTTCCTCCTTCAATTCTGGGACGAATTCTTCCTTCAATTCGGTAACCAGGTCATCCGTCAAGTCGTGGTCTTGAATAATTTCGCTTCGAATGTCAGCGAAAAGCCTGGCCTTCAAATCGGCGTCGTTCATCAGCTCCTGTTTGATCTCTTCGCGTAAAATTTCCATGATTTCGGATACCAGTTGCTCCTTCAGATCGTCATCGGAACGGAGCCGATCTTCAATTTCGGAGCGTAAATCTTCCAAAATGATCTCTTTGATTTCGTCCTTCATCCCGGCAGCGAGTTCTTGGGTGAGTTCGGGTTTGAGCGCGGCGATCACGTCGGACAGGATTTCCGCCTTGATGGACGACATCGTGGTTTTGGAGGACTGTGGGGGAAATAATTAAGAAAAAATGTTAGTGAAGGAGGTGTAAAATTAAATATGCTTGGTGGACAATGACATCAATTTCAAATTAAGTGCAGTAGTGGTTATAAAGTTTTTTTTAATTAAAAAAGATTGACGGGATTTATTGCTTTTAAGAATTTTGGTGAGAATGAATTAAGATGGGAAAAGTGGAAAAATTGAAATTTAGCATCTCAACTCATTTACTTTCTAATTTTACAAACTTCAAAAAATTTATGTATTCGCAAAATATGACCTCGTAAATCTCGCAAATCTCACAAATCAGGCAGAATCATTTATAGAAACTCTTTTTTAAAAATGTTATTTCCATGAATTTTTCTCACCTCTCTTGCTAGTGATGGCGAGAATGAGTTTACGAACTAAAAACATGCCCATTTTTTGGGTTAATTTGCGAAAAAAATTGCTTGGTTTTTCAGCAAAAGCTTTGGGAAATCTTGCAAATTTTGCAAAATTTCCCAAGTTGTATTCAATTTACGAGATATGCACATACATCATAATAATTTGTAAGCTGCAATTCATAATCTTACCGAAGATCCAGATTTTCCTGGAGTTTGGGGCACTCGCACCTCATCATTTTCAGCCCCAATGCCGTTTGCAGAAACTTCCACGATTTGATCCGGAAACTTTGGGGGGTCCGGAGTTGAATTCTCCTCTTCGACCTCAACATTTTCCAAAACCACCCAGTCGTTGGCGGACCCCTCGGAAGAAGACGACGCCCCGGGAGCATTCCTGCCCGGAAACTTGGCCAATTTTTCGCAACAAAATTCCTCCACGGATTGCGCCTTGAAAAGATTCGCGATCCTGTACAGTTCTTCGAGCTCCTGCTCGTCCTCAATGTAGTTCATGTCGTAGCCGTAGAAAACCTGAACAAATTAATAATGCAGGATTTAATCATCGTTTATTGTGTAATTAATTGGATACAATTTCACGCCATATTTTTTGTGAAATGTTTCCGAGGGAAAATAGAGGCACAAATTATGACATACATTAAAAATTTAAGTAAATATACACTTAAAATCTGATCTTGTTGCAGAAATTTTTTTAAAGAACAGGTTCAAAATTTTAAAAAATCTTGGAAAATTAGACTAAACCAATTTAGAAATCAGTGAAACTCAAAAATCTATAAATCCGATATTTCTTAAATATCTATCAAATCGTAAATCTAAAAAAAATCATTCAAACTTTGTTCATAATTGTCTATACATAATTTTCCATACATTTTGAGAAAAATTTCCGAACATTTTTTTAAACTAACGCCATTATTTCTTCAAAAAATCATCAAATTCTTAAACAAAAACAAGTTTTCTTACCCCGAGCATCCTTCGAAAATGGAGTTCATTCAGATTGTCCAGCTCCGGACGCTCGAACAAGTTTCCGTTCCAGGAGTCGATAAAGTCGTCCAAAATTTTGGACTCTCCGTACACGATGTCCTTGTGGAAGGAGACCTCGATCCAGCAATAGTCTCCGTTCGCGTTGGTTCTCCTCAAGGTAAAATAACGGTCGATTTTCTCGCCCGATGTCTCAAAGGCCAACTTGACATCTTCGGAACGAAATTGTCCCTCGGCAGGTCGGTCCTTGCCCTGAAAATGATATGAATATAATTTTTGTATGCATTTTATTGATATCCAATTACAGAAAAGTTCCAACAAAAAACTAAAATTTTGCAAAAATCTAAATTTTCAGATTACAGATTTTTCAAATTTTTAAGATTTTGCTTCACCCAATAAAATTGAAAAGTTTCCAAAGAAAAATAACAAAACTTCATGCAGTCACTTTATAAAAAATTTACTCCGTTACAAACTTTCATATGTATGTATAAGTCTGTCCACGGCAAGTTGAACCCGGAGATATGGAAGACTAAATCCCGGCCCATGCTTATTAACGTTGAACTGAGTTTAGTCTCCCATATCTCCGCGTTCAACTTGCCGTGGACAGATAGTATGTACATGTTTATGTACATTCAATAGTGAAGCTATTCGCGTAGGCCTTGGTAACACTGTAAAATCCGTAAAATTTTATAAAATTTTACTCATATTTCTAACCAAAATTAGCTAATAAATTTTGTGTAAACTTGCTTAGATCTTTATTGGGTAAAAGCTTGGAAAATAATTTTACAAATGGCACGGATTTTACCAAGTTACAAATGACTACATATGTGAGTTTTAATTCAAATTCCAACAATTTTGTAGATATTTAAAAATCTTTAGTAATCTATTAAATTTAAATTAAATTAAAATCTCACGAATTTTTTTACTCACCCAGTTAACCGACTTGTAATGCACTCCTTGAGTTTGAGCCATTTTCCTTAAAAGACTTGTAAAAAAATTCTCCAGCTTTGCAGATGAAAGAGTCTTTTCAGACAAGGTAGTCGAGATTGTGAAAAGTTGTGGATGTGTTGACGAGTGAAAGGCTTGTAAGGCACTGGCCGACTTGAAGGACTGCAGGGAAGGGTATGTCATATCTCGGAGAAGTGAAGGGCGTGATAAAAATACATCGTTTTGTGTAAACGGCCACAAAATTGGGTCCTTTAACCCTTTTCGTTAAAGTTTCGTTTAAACTGACCAGATACATATGTATGATATTCACTAAATATTTCCTAACTTGATTTCCAGAGTTTTGGGATTAAAGCTTCCTACTACAATAGGTACCTTGAAGGGTCACATTTGCCTAAAATATTTTCTAACCCTTTTCTTCTACTACGCAGTTAGAGAACCAAGGAAAGGGGACAATCATAAATTATGTATGTAACGAAAAATTTGCGATTTTAAAGACCCCATTTTTCAGGCAGGATTATCATTGGAGCATTACAGGATGTTTACAGATTTTGTGGAAAGACAATTACATGGATTACTTGTGAACGCATGATCCAATTTGCGCCAAATTTGGCACACACGATCTCGAAGGTCACGACCACATCTGCCCAAAGTTTCAAATTTCTATCTTCAAAGATGGCGCCTAAAAGTGTGCCCAAAGTGGACGAACCGTAAAAGCGGTTTCCGAAGCTAATTTGGCCGCGAAAAGTGCCCAAACAATAATCCAAAAATCTGGAACCCATCTTATCGTGTCCCCCACATATAATTGTATTAATTTTGTAATAAAACGACGATAATTAGTTTCATCCGACCAACGTATACCACGAAATGCATACCCCTCAACACGATGAATTCTGCCACCCTGAAGAACATTGATCGCCACGATGGCAATCAGAATCCTAAAACCAAAAGACAGGTCACAATGCAATCCCAGATGTCTCCTGGACACGTTATTCGTATTTTATGGCACAATTTTAAAAAGCCGTGCAGAGGAGGGCGAAAGTCCGCGCACTTAAATTTGCCCATATGGTAAACAAAAAAACTAACAGTTGGAGGCCGTTTGAAGGTCATGTTGGAAATAAAAATTCCGAATTTGTCGTCACATTGACCGGGGCACTCGGCTACCTTCAAAACTATAACGGGACAAAAATAATTTGCTGCAAAACGGACCGAAAGCAGATTTCAAACCATGGGTCTGAAAAGAAGGAAAAGTTGTCTGACTGATTTCTGGTGGTAGATGCAACGATGGACCGTGGAGTGCTAACGTCTAATGCAAAAATAAACTCGAAGCACTTTATGGACAATGTTTTACATAAGTTGTTCGAGGTCAAAATTGCAAAGAAGCAGTTTGAAGAGCCTGACAAAGTTTGCATCCATCACGACGCGACATTTTCATATACGGCCGAAATTATCCAATCGGACGGCCAAGATTTAAAGGAAAACCCCGGAATGACCTCGATATCTATTTCAGGGGTACATCTTAAGTAACCTGACACCAGTCCGATGAATTTTTTAGGGCTTGGATGCCTAGAACTAAGCCTTTTCAATGGCAGAGATAAAAAATGTCTGCTGTTTGGAAATCCCTTTCACCAATTCCTCTACTTTGAGGTCACTTTTTGAGCTCATTTTTGAAGATACAAATTTGAAATTTGGCCCATATGTGACCGTGACCTTGAGGATTGCGTGATCGAAATTTGGCGCCAAAGCGGTAAATAGGTTCGCAGTTTACCCATGAAATTATCTTTCCACAAAATCTGTAAACACCCTCTGTACATCCCCCTCTCGCGTTACAAAATTTTTGGACTGTCTCCAATTTATTGTATGTATGTACATATTCCACTTGGTCTGATTTCTGCCCTCAGTGAATATTAATGCACAATTTATTTCATTTTAAACATATGTACATACATTTTAAAACACAGCTTGACCTTTTTTAACCTTTTTGCTTCCGCGATGGGAAGGGTACTCGGAATGTTTTAAGTATCCTCCACTTAAAATACGGACACGGTTTAATTGGAAATAAAATATTTACTTGGAACTAATTTCTCAAACTGGAGGTTACTGATTGTTAGGAGACAGATATTTATAAATGAATAAATTAATACGCTGGAAAGTTGTATGCCCGAAAGAGACGGTGCATGAAAGATGCGATGGGTATGGTACATATGGGGCAGATGAGGAGGTATCTCGTGTGAATTACGGGGTACATGACCCACAGGTCAAAACATGGGGAAGGGGTCAAGTTTATCTTATTGACATCCTTTATGTATGTATGTTCGAGTACCATGTAAAGAACAAGTTGTTCAATATGAAGTACTAAGCCTTCATAACCAAACACATGTCGGTATTTTAATTGACCTCGGAAACTAATGGAATTTTCAGTTGTGTTAATTTCGATATGAAAATCGACTTTTTTTCTATATTTGTCAATTTGTCTTCTGAAACCATCTACAGAATTTAATTTTGCATACATTCATGAACGGCCGTAAGAATTTGCCTGCATATGTAAGTTGTTAGTAATAAATTGGACATGAAGGAATTTACATAGTCTGCAAAAAAATTATATACCAAGAAATTTTGCAAGGCGAGAAATGTTCACATCTCGTCTTACATACATACTTATTCTGCACAAATGCAATGTAACAATTATTCCCACGTTTATTTACATGCTTGCAGACGGGGATTTAAGTAGTTTAATTTATTCAGAGATTTTGTCTCCAATTACATTTTCGAGATACATATATATTTCGAGGCATGTCTGTCTATGTACATACATAATTTGTCATGAACGACAATTAATAAATGGTTTCTCATGAGTCTTGATAAAAATTGCTAACCCGTTTGTCTCCATTGCATTAAAAATTATGTCTCGCCAAAATATGTATGTAGCTCTGATTTCATCTTTTCTCCAATGTGGTTCATGAATCACACTCAAATCCCATGAGAACGTTGCAAACCTGAGAATCGCTTACATTTCCATGTAGCTTATCACATCCTGTCCAGGATTACGTGTAAAAATACGTTCTCATTACTATGTAATACACACATGACTAAGTATTTCCAGCTCTGCATAGTCACATCACTCTTAAAAATAATGTTACCCTCTTGAAAAATGTGTATGTGCATATGTAATTGCACCCTAAATTGCATATTATTTAAATTATAGTAAATCCTGAGTAAATTTTACTTCTTATCAAGCTAACGTTACTCTGGATTTAATTTAGTTCACTTAATATACATACATTTCAGACTGCATTTACTTTTCTAAATTATTTTTAAGAGTGTACCTATCCCACCCAAATTTACATACATAGTCGACAGACCAAATTGCATAGGCATGTCAAAAAATAGCGACACTGATAAACTCGACGAATGCTTATCATGCAAGTAACACGGTGACTCAGCTAGGTCGGGGGTCTTGCACAAAGAATCTTCATATGAGTGGGGGTCAGGTCATTGTTTTGCATATGTCACAATCACTTTGCTCCCATAAGTATGGCTATCTTCCTTCCTCGTCTCATATTTCCCGAATGATTTACAACCTCCAACCTGCACGGTCCCTCAGACGGAATTATATTGGCATCCCGTCTTTATCAGACGGGATGCCAATCTCGGAATAAAAGAGATGCACCAACTCATCCAAACTCCCAGTCATCAATTAGTTGCATTATCGTGCTATCTACAAATATTTTTACGTTGATAAGTCTCCACTGATTTACATAAATGATTTTGAAAAATGGATCGTTTAATTCCCGTCATAAATAAGTTACAAGCTGTCTTTGATAAAACTGGGACGAGTGTGGCGTCTGCGATTCAGCTGCCAAAAATCGCCGTGCTGGGGAGTCAGGTAATGGGAAGCTTCATCATTTAGATTAAAATACTTATGTAAAATGTAAGGAAATTTTGGCATCGTAATAATTTTATTAATCAAAAATTCATACACATCTTAATACATTTTGTACACAATGTTAGAACTCTTGTAAATACGTACATATAGTCAGGCAGGTATCAATTTCTCGGTATTAAAGGTGCTACAGCCTGTTATTAAAATTGCATGTCTCGGTTCATAAAAATTTGCAATTAATATGGTAAAACTAAACTTAATACCGAGCTATTTCTTACCATATTATATTACTTATCAATACCACTTTCGTATAGGTAGATGGACTTAATTTACTTAGTCCCATTTAAATATTGGATTTCTAAAAGTGTAGAATCTACTCTAATAAAGTGTTAGTATGATCCCTGGGTCCCTGGGTCCGTCTTCGCAATGCAAATTGCCCCATACAGTAGACAAAGAAGGAAGCGGAGCAACCACTGCATGCATGCACTGCACTGCATGAATAAATGAATACATGAACATGTACACCCCACATACATACATCACTCATCAATAGTGGTTATCATGATAAGTGATCGTGATAAACACAATTAATTATTTTAGTTTGAGAAACTCTACCCACAGCGAGTGACATGTCAATTCGAATGTATTTTTGACGCTGAATCCAACGCCGTCAATGGTTTTGACCTGCGAGGCCCCCGTGACCTCGCCGTGACCGTGGTGTCCAAATCTGGCTTATTCGTGATGTCGCATATCAATTCGAATGTATTTTTGACGCTGAATCCGAATCCGTCAATAGCTTGGCGTTAATTGTAGAAGTTAACGGGGTTTATGGAACTTAACGGGAGCGTGAAGCGTGGGAATTTAAATAGTTAGCTATGCAGTTACTCCCGCGCGACGGGAATTTAAGTAATTAGCTATTCAACTACTTCCACAGGGGGGAATCAAATTTTACTGTGACCAGGTTAATTAAAATGCAGTATGACTTGGGCAAACCCTCAGTCTGATGTATGTATGTAGTATGACAAAGTCTCCACTGGGAATTATTTAAAATATAGTATGACGGATTTTTCGCTTTGGGCACACCCCCCACTGGAACTCTAGAACCCGGCCTTAGCCGGGCTATACGCTAGTACGTTCATAAATATGTACAAATTCTTAGAAATTCCATTTATCCACATTCCAGAAAAATGTGTACCTAAAGGCAAATTTCAAAGGTACCTAACCTTATTTCCAGACGATTTGGACATGCCTAATCCGATTTCATGCCACATTTTTCATAACCTGAACTTATTAAGTAAACTTATTCTAAACTTGGACTAAATTGGAATATCTAAAAATTTTCCAGAGTTCTGGGAAGAGTTCGGTGCTGGAGGGATTAGTCGGCAAGCCATTTTTACCCCGAGGAAAGGACATCGTGACACGATGTCCCATCGTTCTCATGCTCAACAATCGTCCAGGTAAAAAAAAGTACATTCTTTTAGCCAAACCCTTCCAAATCCAGATTATAAAAATAGCCCGATATCGGCACCAGACTGCACTTTGTACGAGTGATAAAAATATTTATGAAGTCATTAATGGTATTCACGACTTTTTAACGGACAAAAACAAAATTTCTCAAAAAACTGGCTTTAAAATTCATTTCTAAGACTAGTAGTTAGTTGGGAATTCAGGGCTAGTAGTTGGGAATTCAGGGCTAGTAGTTGGGAATTTATTTTTTTCAAAATTATGACGCGATGCTAACATATGGGGACAAACTAGTAGTGAATTCCGCAATTGCATGCTTATGTACAACTGTAATATGTATCTACGTATACCAGCAAAATTTATGAATTAGCATTTTATCGCCACTATTTTTCCAAATGGTAAAATCTATCGAAATCTTTAAATATTTATGTGTGACACCATTTTTACACGAGCTTTGTAAAAAAAATTAACGCCAAGATTCACGCAGTCCTTGACAACTTTGTAAAATTCGTAAATCTTCTAAAATAATTTTAAAAGCTTGTAACAAATATTTAGAAGGATCTGATGGTGAGCAAAATTGCAAAAATGTGTAAACTAGTTGTCCTTCTAAATGTTTAATATTTTGTAAAAGTTTATGTGCTTTAATACGGATTTGAAAAGTTACCAAGAACTGGGTGAATTGTCTTAATAAATAGGATGATTTACATATGGATGTACCTTTAGTAATTTCGACTACATTTAAATATTGAGTATATTCATTATTTCTTCTTGATATTCTTCATATACTAAAAAAATAAGTTGCGACGGTTACGAAATTTTGTCAGATTTTGTCATCAAAGATCGCGTTGCCAAGGTTACCATTTTTACGAAACTTGACCCCTCCTTTTTCCTTCGTAAACTATTTTACGATATTAAGAACACGAGGAAGTAATGAATACCCTCATTGAATCATTCATGTAAATATTTAACTGCGTTATTTGCATAATGCTCCAGCATTTCAAAATAGATAACGACCGATTCTTAATATTATTACACAAAGTTTCAAGCACTAGACTTTTTGGGGTAAATTGACACGCAATTTTAAAAAAATCCGACAATAATTTAATTTTCAGGGAAAGAAGAGTACTGCGAATTCGAGCACAAGAAGGGGACCAAGTTCAAGATCGAGCAGGTGGAGGCGGAAATTCTGCGCAGGACAGATGAGCTGACGGGGGGCGGAAAGGGTGTGGTTCATGACCCCATCCTCCTCAGCGTTTACTCACCAAACGTGCTCACCCTCACCGTCGTCGATCTCCCCGGACTCGTCAAGGTGGGTCGGTTCATAACATATTTATATCAACAATTTCCGGTTTCTAAATAAAAACAGATTTCCGGTTTTAGTAAAAAAAACATACTTTTAAATTAAAATTTCGTCCCTACTGTTTCTGATTTTTATTTTCTTAAGAAATATATTGTTAAATTCCAAATAGGTTTTGATTCTTTAATACATGTATTAAGTTATAATCAGGGTATTCACAACAATATAATTCGTATCGTAAAATAGGTATGTAGGTTATGAAGAACAACAAGGTGTAAAGCTTTGTAAAATTCGTAACCATAGTAACCATAGCGATTTTTGCTGACGAAATCTTACTCCGCTTACAAAATCTCGTAACCGTCGTAACTTACATATTTTACTATACGAACTAATACGAAGAATGCTAAGGATACGAAGGAATCATAAATTCCATCAATATTTAGAATTTGTTCTTCACAAAATTTTTCAAATTCTCTCTTAACCTCGGTGTAAATTAGCTAAGAACGTTTTTTAGCAAACTCTTAACCAGCTTTTCTTATTCTAAAATAAATTTGCTTATATTATTTAATATAATTTTCATAAAAAATCTACTTCAGAATGTGACCGATGGACAGCCCGACGACATCGTGGAAAGGGTGGAGGAACTCGTTTTTGACTACATTTCCCAACCAGACACCCTCATTTTGGCCGTGTCAGCGGGCGATGTGGAAATTGCGAATTCAGAAAGTATCAATTTTGCAAAGAGGGTCGACCCCGAACAAGAGCGGACTTTAGGCGTGGTCACCAAACTGGACAAAGCGGACGACTTGGAAGATGTCTTGGCAGGGAAGAAAATTCCCTTAAAGTTGGGTTTCGTTGGAGTTATGAATAGGTAATTTAAATCAATTTTATGAAACAATTTGAATTTTAATGGTGAAATTTTTTAGCCTTATAATGCTTATAATATTTTTGGGGGTATTTATTTATCCAAGATTTGTTGGAAATTTATAGCATTTCGAAATTTTGTAAGACTAAGGATTTATGAGAATTTCTGTATTAGTACCTACCTACTCTCCACTCGCACACAGTTGAACTTTTACAGAAATTGAGAATTCTGGGAAATTACACCACTGCCAGTCTCAAAGTCTCTAATCCGAATAATTTGAGGCCATTTGAGACTGGCATTGGCGTAGTTTTTGGCGTAGTTCTCAATTTTTGTAAAAGTTCAACTGCACCCGAATTGAGAGTACATAAAGTCCTGTGCACAGTTGTGGTTAACGTGGCATTGTATCACGTGTTTTTTGTTTGAATTGTTGTGTCTCAACTTTCCCTTCCTCCATGTATTCAAATGGCGATTTTGAAAAATGTTCACCGCCTTTCGTTTTTAACAATATGAAGATATTAATGCACCTAAAAATCGGTAATTTTTAGGCTTACATAGTTAGGAGATAAAAATTTTGATTTTTTTCTTCAATGAGGAAATATTTAAATTTTATTGATTATTTTTCATCTATTTTATATTTATCTTCTTGTTGAAGAAAAAAAATCAAAATTTTTATCTCCTAACTATGTAAGCCTAAAAATTACCGATTTTTAGGTGCATTAATATCTTCATATTGTTAAAAACGAAAGGCGGTGAACATTTTTCAAAATCGCCATTTGAATACATGGAGGAAGGGAAAGTTGAGACACAACAATTCAAACAAAAAACCCCGCATCAGCCAGCATGCTATTCCGCCTTAAGTAGTAAAAACCCATTTGGAGAAATGTGAGACGATTGGTCTCAAATTTCTCTAAAAATTCATCTCACGAATTTCTCATGCTCGAGTAATACCTATAATACAATTATTAAGAAATGGTTTAATTGCATTTTTAAACAATACAAATTATTATAAATTTTTGCCAATTGTTAATAATTTATAAATATTGTTTGTATTTAATGTACTTGTCACTTTTTACCACGCTTAAGATAAGTACTAATAACTCCAACATTTTAATATGCCAGATCCCAACAAGACCTCGACAATGGGGTCACTGCTGATGAAATTCTTGCCCTAGAACGACAACTGCTGCAAGCCAAGTACACCCAGATAGCGGACCGGCACGGCATGCCATTCTTGGCATCCCGTCTGAATCAAATTCTGTTAAGTCGGATCAAAAAGTGTTTTCCAGCCTTGGATGTAAGCAATTTTCCATGCTTTGCTAACTAAATTTGCATCTTTGTCCATCATGTGCAATTTTACCCCGGGACAATTTATAAAATCCGCATTAAGTTAGGACTCGATAACTCATCGCCAAAATGGTCAATCAAAATCAACACATTTTTAATCATTTCTCAACTCTGGGAATTTATTTTGAAATTCTGCTAGACTAATTTTTAGCCAGGAATTTGATTATTAGAATGGTGATCTGTTTTTGATGCCAGTTTCAATGAGTTCAAATTTTCTGAAGGCTTCTAAATCTTAAGATCTACTCCAAAAATTGTCGAAATCTGGAGTGTTTTTTTAAATTTAAATACAACTCCCAGCTCTGAAATTTTTTATCCAGAATTTTAAAATAAATTCCCAGAGCCGAAAAATGATTTAAAATGTGCTGAGTTTTACGACCTCGGAGTCCCTCGTTAATCGTCTTCGGGGAAAATGTCACACAAAATTTAAATTCTTGTCTTCCAAAAATTCGATTACAAAATACACCTTCAAAATTTTGTCAAATTATTTTTCCAGGCCAAAATTAAGGACCTTTTCCGCAAGCGGGAACAAGATCTCGCCGACCTTGGTGAAGAAGCGACTGACAAAATGTCCACGAAGGACAAACTAAAATGCTTAACTACCATCTTGAACAAATTCGAAAAAGTTTACAAAGCCCAATTCGACGGACAAGGGCGAACAGACATTGACCCCAGCGAACTAACGGCAGGGGCCAATATCGATTTCATATTTCAGCACACCCTCGCGAAGGACCTGTCCTTGTTAAATCCGCTGATTGGAATTTCTGACGAGGAAATCATGATCGCAGTCAGAAATGCGGGAGGCGTCGCGTCAGAACTGTTTAATCCACAGGTACGCTAAACTAGTAGAAAAATTTGTAGAATTCGTACCCCATGAAAAATCTGGTATCGTCAGGCAGATATTACTTTCTTGGTATTGATGTTGCTACCGCCAGGTATTTTAATTATACCGGTCCGTAAAAATTTCCTACTGATATGGTAAAGCTGTAATACCGAGCTATTACTAAACCGTATTACTTATCAAAGTTATCAATACCATTTTGATAAGCATAAGTGATGATGATAAAATAATACCACTTGGCACTATTTTATTACCGGATTTGTGTGTGTAATGGTACTGGTAATGTGTACTGGTTGGAATTTGTAAAATGGGCAAAACTTTTTAGTTATTAAAATGGGCAAAACTTGTAGTTGGTAAATTTGATGTTCAGATACATTATTTGGAAACGTTTTCAATTTCTACTATTTTTCAAATTTTAAACAATGTCATAATTTCCTGTCAATTTTTACTAAATAAATAGGTTACCTTTCTGTCACGCCCATTAAAAAAATTCCTACCCAAATTTATCTCCATCTCTACAAATTTTTAATAAAATTCACAACTTCCTCTTCCAGATCGCCCTCCAACACTTGATCAAAAGAGAGGTCGCGAAGATGAAACCAGTCGCGCTCCACTGCGTCGACATGGTTCATACCGAAATGAGAAAAACCATAGCAAAATGTCTCCCCTACGAGCAGCGCTTCCTCACCGTGAACGACGCCATCGAAACGGTCGTCATCGACCTGCTCACCGCGAACGAGCGCGTCACCCGCGACATTATGGAAACCTACATCGACATCCAGGCCTCCTGCGCGAAAACGTTCGACCAAACGTATCGCGCCGAACTGGCTGAGAAAATGGGGACCGTGAACACCGTTGGGCTGGGCGACATGCCGCTCAGCCATATTTTAACGGACAACAATGGCGCCGCGCTGCTCACACTTTCGGGAAGTCAGGCATTCTCACTTGACCCCAATTCCACCTTTACCCAACAGCAGACCACGCTCTGCCAAATTGTGAGGGACTTGATCGAAACGTTTTTCAACATTGTAAGAAGACAGGTGCAAGACCACGTGCCCAAGTCGTTGCTGCATGCCCTCATCTATTCCACGGTGGATAAGTTGAGCATCACGTTGGTAAGGAGGGAGTAAAATTGGGGATATTCGCACTGTTTCGGGTGGAAGAAAGTGTTTTTTGCAGACATTTTGACCGCATTTCTTGCTTTGCTATATGCAAACCAGCAAGAAGCGAAACACTGCAAAACTCAATTTGCAATTTGCAAAAAATGGCGTATGTATGCATGTATGTACACGACAAATATGTATTTGACTAATTTCAGGCCACCCACTTGTGCCCCGAGGTGGACGAATTAATTCGTGAAGCTGATGCCATTTCTGAGCAAAGGACGTACATCAAGTTAGAGTTGGAAGTAAGTATTCAGTCATTTTGTTATACATCAGTAATTTTTATCAACCAGTTTAACAGTTTTCCTAAACATTTATCCCATCTAATTTTCAGGGTCTTACAGAAGCAACCAAAATCTTGGATGAGTATCGCGGAACAAGTGCAATATAAATTACAGATATTTTCTAGATTTGAATTGCATTTTAATAAATTTAAGCTTGTTTTGTCCATATACATACTTGAAAAATACATGTTTTGCTCCACACATATTTTTGTTATGAGGAAATTTATAATTACAGATATTTACATACATACCTACATATGTACTAATTACTCCTTGCTTCTAATAATTGTTAATAAAAACTTTACCAAATGATAAATGTTGGTCTAGATTTCCGTCAACTCCGTGGAAAATAAGAATCGTAGAAAACTACAGATTAGTCCCGTTTCCCGTATTCATGCAATTATTTACATGCATATGTACAGTTGTATAATTGTTGTATAATTTTTGTATTTTACATGTTGCAAGATTGTTTATTACCGTTTTTCAAACTTATACAATTGTACGTAGGTAACATTTTTCACCAATTTCCATATCGCAACTCCTACATATAGATAATTTGCTTTACATTGATACCCACAATTAAGATGAATATATATGTATATACATACGTAGGTTTTCATTAATTTCTTAAAACGGATAATAATACGTCGAGTTTCCCAGTAATATAAATATAGTAATACAAGTAAATTTGTGTTTCTGGTCTTTTAATACGCACCATGAAAACTGTTGCCTCCAAACAAGACAAAATCGCGTATTAAAAAAAATAAGTATTTCCTCAGTTTTCAATTAAATACTTTTTCCTCCGTCAATTCAGTAGTATAATTTGGAAAATTATTATGTATCCTCGTAGCGAATTACGTTGCCACGTGCCAATAATTTATTGAAATGTTACACCCACCCTTTAAGTTTGAGAGTGATCATTACATTAGAGTCACATCCTAAAACCTGACAAATATTTATGAACATATGTAGGTATCTAAAAACGTTCCCTGCAAATCATTAAGTTTTAAATGCCGCATTCTATAAATAGCATTTAATTCTCCTCGAGACCCCAAAGGTCCTTTACCTTTGCTGAGTTGAGGCCACAATATTTCAAAGCCAATTAAATTAAAGCCAATGCCAACTCGGAATATCGCTTCACATTGGAAAAGTGCTAAAAACTGGCAATCTACCCTGTTAGAAATCTGATATAGTTACGCAAATATGTATTGATTAATCAGTATTGTAGTTGCTACATACCTTTTGGTAAATTGTACGGATTCCGTATAAAAATAGAAATTTCCTACCGATACGGTAACATCTACATAAATATCTAGCTATTACTAAACGGTATTAATTATCAAAACCATTTTGGTAGTCATACATGAATACTGCTTGATATTAAATATTTTAATACTGAATTTCTAAAAGTGTATTTATTTACACCTTGTCCCACCTTAATATCTAGAACATTTTTTTCTAATTAGGCTTGATTAATTTCGTGATCATCATGGGTGTGACTCCGTTAATGTGGAAGGCCCTGGATCGTTTCCAGTCCTATTTCAGCCTCCTCTGGACGTACCCTGTGGAGTGGAATGTCACCAAGAAAAAATTAGTTATAACACCAATTTCAAAGAAACTTGTTCCCTGGATGATTTCCGTATTCGTCTTGCTGAATACGCTAAACACCGCGTCGTTATGTCTCCTTGTGGCGAAGTTATTTGGATTTGTGCAGCTCTCATTTAGTGTAACGCTAGTAACGTTGGGGTGGTGGGTGTCTTCAACTTTCGCCTTCTTCTTGGAGGTGCTGGTTTGCAAGTTTGCGAAAAGTGGGACGAATTCATTTAATTGGATTTTATCGCTGGAGCAAGAGTTGTATAAGGGTAACAATTCAGGTAATAATTATTTTCTCCTTTTTGTCCTACATTTAATACATTCAGAGGGCGGATATGTATGTATTTATAACTTTTTCATACTAAGCCAGATCGTATGAAGACTTCGTATTATAACATATCATCCAAGCATGATCTTGTAAATTCAAACATAGTTTTCAATATTTTGCATATTTTCAGGTTTGCGTACATATACATATTTTCAAACATATTTTGAGGATTTTTGCAGATATTGAATATTTTTCAACATATTTCGAGGTTTTTTTTTGAAATATCAATATTTTTAAAAGTCTTCCCAGGTCTTTGTACCAAAATATTTTTTATCAATCAAAATTTAAGCTCTTGTTAAAATTATATTTTTATGATAATGGCGTTCAATTCGTGCGAACGAGTGTAAAATCCAATTTGACACATTTTATCAGTTTTCTTTGCCAAAAAATTACTCCAGAAAATCTCGAAGTGGAGCTGGTGTCACAGCATGCGTCTTAAAATGAACATGAGATGTTCCTCTGATATAATTAGCTTATAAGAGTGTTAAAAACTTGATTCTTCTCGAAGATGAAACGTAAACACAGTAGGAAATTTAAGTCGAAAAACATTTTTTTGTGCATATTTTTTGAGTTTTTATACACATATTGCATACATATTTTGAGGAATTTAGGTACATACATATCCGCCCTATGGTAGTAATGTTAGATTTCTTGAATTTTCTTCACCTTTTCTATGCATGTTTTCCTTATTTATTGAAACTTTCTTATATTATACTGTCAGAAATTCCGAGGTGCAAAAAAACTAAATAGGCACCACCTACATAGAGTTTACCATTGTACTAAGTTTGACTACACGAATTGTCCGTTAGATGGCGCTTATTTCGTGCATATTATTTACTCGTTCAAACAGCATGCAAAAAAAGATTTTTTTGTAGTACAGTAGTTTCTTTCATATTTTTTTACCGTATCTGAATTTGTAAACTGATACCAAAAATTTCCTACGTTTACATACAAACATCGCTTTATTTTCAGCCTCTCGTATCACTCGCCCTTCCCCTCCATCTCCCGACTGGAAAGGCCTCACTCTAACCACCCTAATCCACCTCATCTTCTTCCAATCCATCTTTCTTTACATCTTCCTCGTCCTAATCTTCCGCCTCGATCCGTACTATATACTCGAAGAGACCCTTCTCCCATACCCAGCCTCACTACCCGTCAAATTCCTCCTCCACCTCTTCCGGGTCACGACGTGGATCCCAATCTCTCAAGTTGCCCGGATCATCTCCTTCATCCTCGCGACGTCCATCGTAGCCGCGAATCTCGCCTTGAGCTGCATCTCTGCCCTCGAAAAGGCCACCAGTTCCCGGGAAACTTGGACCAACAAGGATGCAACTACCCGCCATTTGCTCGATTACACCCGCTGCCAGTTAATTTTCGGGATCGGGTATGCCCCCACGATGGCAATCTCGAGCTTTCTCTGTCTCTGGTTTAGCGTCCTTTTTAACTTCATTTCGCTCAAGATGCATCATTTGCTGGATGCCTCAATCGTCTACTTGTACTACCCCGTGATTGCGGTGATGATGACAGCCATGGTGGAAATGACGTTGCCGCTGTTGGTCGATGTTTATGAGGATAGTAGAGAAATCCATGCAAAGTGGAGGGGCATGTTGGGAATTAGTGGTGATATGAAATATTTCAAGAGGAAGTTAAGGTCGATATCGGTAATCGCGGTTTATGGGGGAATTAATAGTTATAATTTTTATAAGTGTAAAAAATCCACGAAATTGACGTATATTTCTGCCGTGTTGAATTACACGATCACTGCGACGTTGTCGATTGATATAGGGAGGGGGTTTCATTATCAGGGATAGAGCGACTTGCGGGGTTCGGTGACATTTCAGTCGTCCAACGTCACCCTTGTCGACCCCTCGACTCTAATGTAAATAGTTTGTGGAACAAAGCCATAATCGGTATAACAGAGTAGTTAATACGTAGGTACATATATAGGTTGGCTTAGGGGAATAGTGTTAGCCTAGCAAATTATGAAATCCCCTGCATAAATTTGAATGCAATTTTTAGAATTTTGTATGTAGTTCTGGACATTAAAAAAATCATTTTCAATTTCAACTAATCAATTAAAAATATGCCACGTGATATGTAAATAAATGCTGAATAAACACTAACTATGGAGTATTTTGTAATATATATTTTACAGTAATTACGTGCATAAACTTAAATTGTAATTACGCATTCCGTCTTTTCTTGTCACCATAAACGATCTATTATCCTCGCCCATTTTACTTTGCATTGTTACCTATGTATCCCATAGAGCTGTATGTATGTAAATAGCATAAGGTATATAAGATGTACCTACTCTAAATACAGAGGGTGGTAAAAAAGGACATGGAGAAAATTTTCGTGTAATTTGTTTTTGAGTTCCATTAGTTCCAGGCTGGAACTTCCAGCATACATAAAAATTCACGTAGCTGAGGGACGGATGGACAAATTAATCGAAGTAGGTACATATCAGTATGTATGTATGTACATATGCACACCAGAGGTCAACGCCGACGGTTTACGCGGCGGCGGCGGCGTGAAAATGTATATTGGTCGGCGGCGGCGGCGCGCCACGGCGGGGTGATTAAATATGTTCGGCGGCGCCTACATAAATTGCTAAACGTATATACGCTAAATAGGAAGGATCTGAAACACGCTAAATTAGAATTGCTAATAATCTAAAATCTGCAATATTTCTTGGAGAATGTATCTTTTCATTAAGTGTTTCTTCATGCACGTTAGACAAGTTTTAGAGAAAAATTGAACAGGCTATATTTGACGGTCAAATTTTGACCATTCTAGGTGCTCATTAAAACTGTGTCAAATATCACGGCTTTTCCATTTCACGCAGTTGGTTGTAAACATTCTTACATAATTTTACTATTCATACATCCCTATTTTAGGTGTTTAAACTAGGTAATAAGTCTATGTCCCTATTTCTTGCCTGGAGCGTCAAGTAGTGAACTTGAATTTGATGGTATCGTAAATGTGATCTGGTAAATTTCAATACGAAACTTTTTAAAATATCAATTTTCAAAATGAAACAAAAATAATATTTAAAAAACTGTTAATATTGTAAAAAAAAGTTAAAAAAAATCTTTAAAAAATACACTAAATTAAAAAATTCATCAGATTTAAATGTAAATCGGCGGCCGAATATTGGCGCCGGCGCGCCGACCAGATTTTCTCGGCGGCGGCGGCGCGTCAAAACGGTTCGGCGTCTAGCGGCGCGGCGGCGTTGACCTCTGATGCACACTTGCTTCATGTCGTCCTGCTCAGTAATAAGAATACATACCTATGTTTATTTATTCACTACCAGCTTGAGGATGAAACTAGCAGTGATCAAAATTACTGCTACCGAGTTTCAATTATGTCCTAATTATTATTTAGAT